AACCTGAGGCCCATCCAACCTCATCACTGACTCCTCCACAAAGAGAAGGTATGGAGGTGGCCTGGGTTTGGTTCAGTCTTTAAAGGAAGTCTACAGCATATCTGTTTGCTCCTGGGGTCAAAAGCTCAAACTTCATTACTGAGTTACACCATGTCACTGGAAAAAAACTGCATCTGCCTCTCTTGAAAATCCCCCTTTCACAGGCTGCAGCTTTCAATACAGGGAAACCCCCCATCCCCCTTGACACCATCCACCCATTCAGGGCTGTTAACCATTCAGAAGCTGTTAGCATGTAGATTTTGGTGATAATTTGGTGAATGGAATTGTCAAACAAATTGCCTTTATTATGGACTGATTAAATGCAATCAGGGAGAAGTGCCTTTCCCCTCCCAACTCCAGCCCTCATCAACTCAAACAAACACACTGAGCCAATTAGCAGGGAGGTGGCAAAAGCAGCTTTCACTTGAAACCTGCCATTTTTTGAGAAAAGATAGAAAAAAGCGGCAAAACAAAACAAAAAAACTACTCGTGCTTTCATGCCAGGTAGAGCCTCCAGGGAGAGGTCCCAGAAGCTACCCAGAGCTCACCTGCAGGGTGTGAATGGAAATTATCAGTATTCTTCTGGCTCCATGCCGGATCAGCTCCCTTAAGCAAAGTGCTGCTCACATCCAGCTTGTGCCAAATACAGTGCAAAGAACATAAATATTAAAGCAGGCCCAGAGGGACGAGCACAACTGGAGCTGTTATTCCTACAGCTTTATGTCCTGCAGCTGGGTTCTTCTGTGTCAGAAAAGGTGAGAGATCCCATCAAAGCTCTTTCCATGCCTAAAACCCTAAATTTTTGGCTTAGGTCCCTGCAGTGGATTCTCTGATGTTTACAAACATTTGAGTTCTTAGCACAACCTTTCCTGCCCCATAGCAGTAGTGAAGGGGTGTGTCCCCATTAACATGAAACTCACAGCAATCACATAGGTCTGATGCCACTACCTTTCTGTTCAACATGCTTGAAATCAGCTAACAAATGAGAAAATTATTTAAGAGAATTGGAGCATGGCATCATAATCACATAAGCCTAATTACATGCAGGTATGCAGCTGGAAATTAAATGGTCACCTTGGCTGGCAGAGTAGAATTCAACATGTGTTTTCATGATTTAGCTTCAGGGGCAGGAACCCCATGGCTTGAGCTAGAGACAGCACACAGAATATGAGCAATAGCTGGTGACTAAGCTTTTGACTAGGCATTTTAAATAGTACCAAAGACTAATTCTGGCCCCATTTTCATTAACCTACTCCTTCTAAAGATCAAGCTCTGCACACTGCCATGGAACACTGCCTCTCAAACCCTACACAGAGGAGCTATCGCATAGCTTCTCTGGCAGGGCAAGGACATTGCTTTGTCTTGGGCTCCCACCACAAATAGACAAGGGCTAAAACAAAGGTGAATTTTTATCAACCAGCAAGAATTTTGGAGAGTTCATTGCTGGGACTCAGATTAAGATTAAGGGTTTATAGTTAAAGCACAGAGATTCAAAAGACCAGCTTCTTTCCCCACACCTCATCACAGTCTTCAAGTCACCTTGAACATAAGGGGTATGTGACACATCAAGACACTAGGTCCTAAGCCTTCAAACAGTCCTGAGCATAAGAACTGATCACAGAATGAGATTAGATCAAGAGCCCATACTACAAGCAACCACAGAGAAAAAGTCCAGGCCTTCTTAAGAAGTGGCTGCAAAGTGCCTGATAACTCCACTCTCTCTCCCCAAGGACCCCCTTCCTACTCTCTCATCCTCCTGCAAACATCAATGTTTAAAGAACTATTAAAGAAAACAACTTCAAAACTCTTCACATAGTTCAAATACTTCACTTAAAAGGAATTTTAATTCTTACATCTCAGATTGCACCAGTCCCCAGCAGGACATGCACTCATCATGTTAACACTGTGGCATTTGAGCTGTTCAGACAGGAGGGATGGAGACACAGTGTGAGACCATGTGCTCAGAAGCCTGGGAGCAGAGACAACAGGGATTCTCACTAGCTCTGCCTGGGCTTCCCCATGACCGACTCAGTTCACCACACTTCAGGAAACCTCCTCAGGGTGCCTTGTTATGGCCTATGTGAAAAAGAAATCTTCCTGCAGCCAGGAGACACATACTCTGGAAAGCCAGCCAGTGGGAAAGTACTGGCAGCAGTGGGAACTGGCTAGGTGTGCAATTCTGGATAAGTCTTTCAGCCAGTCCTACTGCATAGCTGCAGTGTGGAAGTTGGATCAGTGCTTCTTGTGATCTGATTAGAGCTCACTGGCCATTCCTAAGCTGTCTCTCTCCAGGGCTGGATCAATTCACTCTGCCTGGCCCACCATGAAAAGGCCATGACCTATTACTGACAGCAGCACCTCCCTGGTAGTGCCAAGATGAAGCAAGCTGAGAAGGCAGAGAAGCTTTGTTGCTAAACAAAGGTCTACAGGATTGAGTTTAAAAAAACCCAAACATTCTTCTCCAAAAAGCATCAGCTGTTTTCTCTAGACAGTACTGCTATTTGCAGCCTGGAAAAGCCCTTACATCCCAATGAGCTGTCCCATCTCCATGCAGCATGTAGGCAGCAGTGAAACTGCTACAGAAACCTCTAGGGGATCACAGCAAGCCTTGCATTCCTCAGCAGCAATAACCAATACAAATCCTTTCATCTCACTGGAATGCAGACAATTTATGTGTTGGATGCATCACCTCTAGGTGGGATGGTATATGGTAAAGCTATAAGGCTTCCCCAGAGATCTTCACCTGCTCAATTCCAGCCACACCAGAGAAGAACCCAGAACATCCTGAAGTGCAGAAAAAGTATATGTGGCCAGAAACCATTACAGTCAAAGGCTGTACAACAAACAAAAAGGTTACTCTCCTTCTATTCATCATGCCAGCTGATGATACAGGGGTGGCAGTAACAAACAAGATGCTCCTTCATGTAGGAAATGTTATCTAGACCACTGCTCTTTCAGAGGCACGTGGTGCATGCCCTTGAGGATTCGGAGGAGACAAATGGAATCTTTGCAAAACCTATAGGGGAAGCATAGTGTGTGATTTGGGAGATGCTTCATCTTGTGGCTATCCAGCTCCTGAACTTAACAAAACCATATTTGAGTTGCTACACAACTGGCTACACACTGGGTGCAGCTTTTTCCTGTAACAAACCATGTTTCCTGTCTTGCAAGGTACAGTCAGTCCAACCAGACCAGGGACATTTGTCAAGCCTGCTTTCAGGAAACATAGCTTGGATCTGGAAGAAGATTTCAACAGTTGTGAAAACTCATGGGAGGTTGTGCTGTTGGGATTACAGACCCTGCTTCAGAGTTCAGCCTTGCCATGCACATACACAAGGGTTTTAAGCCACCTCCCTTCTCCCAGAGTGTGACAGTACAGTCAGATGTTGCAGAAAATATGATTTTGTCATCAGCAACCTTCTTACTAATTTTTTTAAGAGGACAACATCTGCCCACCCCAACTGCCAGCATCACAAAGTTTATCAATTTATTTCCACTTCTCTGGCTATGTTGTATACACACAATACAAAGTACCCTTACTCTAGGACACTTGCACATTTTAATGCTTAGCAATCTGGGCTGGCTGATAGCCAGATTATAGATAAATTTTAGCTATATTTCAGAAGGACCAGTATTTTCCCTATTGAAGCTTTAGCTCCTGTCATATCTACTCCATTCACCCCTTCTGTATAAGGAGGAGAACAGAGAAAGCTCATTGCCAAAAAGAGATTAAAAAAAACACTAGAAACAAACAGGGCGATTCCTCAGCCCTTTCCATTCAGAGGCATATCTGCCTTGAATGGCAGTACCTGGGACTGATCTGTCTCCAAAGGAGACTGAATCACAAGCAAGCCAGACCCCTTCAATTTACATTAAGACTTTAGTCTACTGTATATACTCTCCCCCAGCTTCACCACAAGCTCCTCCTTTCTAACACAAATCTCTTGCGAGGAACACAGGCACTCCCAGGCACAGAGCAGCAGGGTTCTAACGTGTTGAATCCCAAGACCGGTGAGATTCAGCTCTTGCAAATGGCACTTTTTCATCAGCAAGCTATAATTGGAAACTCTTATCCACTACAAGAGTTTTGAAACACACCCCTAAAAAACATGCCAGGCTCGTTCTTCACACTAGTCTTAGACCCCAAATTAGAACTGATATCCCAAAAGCAAAGTGATTCTGACTAGGCATTTCCCAGCAAACTAATCAACCCTGATTAACAGTAAAATGAGATCTGTTACATTCTCTGAGCCACATGCATACGCACAGGAAAAAAAAAAACAACAACGAAACGAGAAACGTAATTTTAAAGTGACTTACACAGCTGTATGTAGTTACAAAACTTCTATGGCACTTCATACTTTCAAAGTGCTGTGTATTTACTTGCTTCACACAACTCAAAACAACTGCTGTAAACAGTTTGAGATTCAGAAATTATTTAGAAATAAGACACTTCTCCTGGCTTAAGTAAACAGGCTCAATATAATTAATTCTGTGTATGTAACATCTTTAGCTCAGCAGGCTTTTGCAACAATCAGAAGCCTTATGTTAAGAGGAGGGATCCCCTATAAAATAATTGGGTCTTGCTACGTTAGCTATAATTTATATCCTAGAGTTCCGCAGTCTCCTACCTAGCTCTTTTCACTCCACAAAGAACACACCACAAAACCTGCAACAAACTTACACAAGGTAACACTTCCTTGTTCCCAAAGTTGCTCGGACTAACTCTGCTGAAACCGTTTTGTGAAGGGTTATTGAGAAAGGCTTTTAATAAACCCAACATCCTCTTACAGAAGATGCTTTTCATCAGCTTATTTTTAAAAGACTAAAATTACTCCCCACTCAACTACCCCAGATCTGCTCACATTTACTTCCCCCGAGCTGCTCCTGAACACTGTAAGAAGAGCTCCCACCCATAAGCAGCCGTCCAGTGTACAAAAGTATCAGCGCTTCTCCCCTACCTGAGAAGTCTGCAGAAGTCTTTGCAAAGTTGCTGAAAGCTGTCAAGCACATGAGTCCTATGAGGAAGGTGGAGGTGGGAGACACATCTGAGCAGCACATCCTTAAGTATCCTCAAGGCTTGTTTTCTTCCGGAGAAAAAGAAAGTGCTTTCCGTCCCGATCCAGTACTCCTCATTGCCCGGAGAACAGCGTTAGTCCCATTGCTTGGAAGCAGCGGGGAAGGAAAGGCGCTCAGCACACACACACATTCACACACACACACACATCCACACACACACATCCCTGGGAGTGAATGAATCCCGGCTGAGGGAGGCTGACGAATGAGCCAGACCTACCTGAGGCTTGGCGGAGGTCCCAGGGTCCTAAAAGCCATCGCTTCCCCCAAATTTGCTGCAGACTGTTACCGTGCAGCTGTCCAGCAGCAGCACCACAAACTGTCAGGGGGGAGAATCTGGGGGGGTTTTGTGGGGAAGATTGTTTGGAGAAGCCCGGCTGCTGTGGGTTTAGATACCCAGGGATCTTGTCTGCCTGGTACAGACAGACAGAAGGATGGGCAGTATTTTCAAAGGAGGCAGCCCAAAACAAAGTGCCTGGATTCACAAGGATTTTTGGAGTGATGGATATTTGTGTCTGCTGCTGAAATTGGTGTGAGCAGCGGTGTCCTGACAGGCTGGTGACAGGACAACTCTTCAGCTGTGCCCACTGTTGAAAGTGATCCTGCAGTGGAGGAGACTTTGCACAGGCCAAGGGATCAAACCCTCCTCATTGCAGGATGGGACTGGTGTCAGCCCACATATCCAAAATCCTCCTTCCTTTTGGCAGCAGCCAGCCATGCCAGCCTCCCTCTATCCCACTGGACCCCTCTCCCCTCCATCAGACTGCATGAGGATTTTCAGGCAGATCTTAATCTGTGGTGTTCAGATGCAGCAGACCGGTTTCCTTCTGTAGCAATTACTTTAACCTGCAACTAGCATGCATTTAGCTGTTAACACAAGCACCGCTCACTCTGCAGAGTTAAAGGAAAACTCCAGCTTACCTGTTACTTGATGCTGCCTGATCTTCATCCATATCCCGGCAGCATCAAGTCAGCCATGCTAACCTGGAAGGACTGAGCTGAGGACAGTCCACCACACAGGTGGACTGGACTAGTGGACCCTGTTCTCCCTGCATATGTTGTCCCAGGAAGGAGATCCTGGGTTTTGGTCATCAGCATGAACCACAGCTCAGGCATAAGTTTGGATATAGATAATGTACATAACCAATATATCTAGGCTACAATAGAGGTTGTCAGTGCAGAGAGCGGGAGATAGCTTTCATCTAAGTTTTCATCAAAGCCAACACCAGCCACTTAGCAGCCTGTGTATACAGATACACAAACCTATGGAGCAACACTGTGTGTGGCTGTCAGAGAAGTGGAGATGGAACCAGGCACATGCACAGCTGCTGAACACAGCTGCATCTTCTATCCAGCAAAAATAACCCAGGTGGGAACATCCAACAAATGCCACAACTGGTTTTTATTGCTCTGTCCTGTTCATTCACACAGAATTAAGTGAAACTTGCAAAGAACATTCACCTTACTGCTGAAAATAAATGTAAAAGACTTTAACCCAAAAGGGCTGGGTTGTTTCTTTTTCAGAGCAGAGTGCACTTGTAAAGAGTTTCTTGTGCTGAAATTTCTAACAATGTTTCAGCTGTTCTCAGACAAAAATCAGGCTGGCTGTCAGGTTACACATGAAAGACATTTTCAAGAGTGCTGCCATGAATAGTACAGACACTGTTTCTACCAGAAATCTGTCCTGGGGTGATCTGTGTGCTCCCCCTCAAAGGGACCTGTAAGTCTTACAGCCCCATTTGCTTTCTGGCCATATTGCCACTTGCTCAAGCTCCAATCAGCCACAGTGACGATAAGGGTAGTGTGGGAAATCTTGAGGTTGGGCTTGAATCCCTTCCATGATCTGTCTGCCCAGACCACATGAAGCAGAGGTTGATCTGGCCTGAATTGCATCTAAGCAACCCTCCTTCTCACAAACAGCTCTTCACACACTGAGGATCCACAGCACAGGTGCAGTTAAGTCACCTCAAGGACTGTGTTGGCTCTGGGATGACCTGACAGCACAGACATACCCCAAGGTCCTGTATAGACACAGTCCCTCCTATCTGCAGACAATCCTGCCACTTTACCTTTTCGCAGAGGGCTGCTTAAGCAAGATCAAAAACCAGGAACTTCTACGGACTGCCTTACTCTTTATTTCACCTGAGACTTTAATCCTACACGACAGACTTCTTTGACCCATGCTTTCCAGAGTTGACCAAAGTTTTAGAGAAAAGAACAAGACAACTGCTTCCTAGCATCTACATATTTGTCTCAGCTAGTTCCGCTGCCCTTGCCAAAGGGAAGATTCACCACTCTTGCATGAGATAATCATACCCATTACCAGATTATCAGCCAAAACTGCTTATCAGCAGGACAAAGAAACAATAGGGGCCTTGGAAATTTATCAGTCCTCTGGAAAAGGGAAGCACTATTTGCTGAAAAGAGTCCACCCTGTCAGCAGGTGTTGATTTTACTGATTAAAGACTAATTATGTTTGGCTGTTTCAGTATACCAGGAAGAAAAAAAACTCTGGTGGCAAAGGGTTTAAGGCTAAACATGGGAAGTGTGCTCTAGCAGTCCTTTAGGTTATTGTTAATAAAGTCAAACCAGTAGGGAGGAAGTTTACAACAGTGTCACATGAGGGCTTTGTTTTTAAGCAAATTTGTAAAGATGCCTTCCAAAAAGAAAGCAGAAAGCAGCTCTTGATAAATAAACAAATAAATACATATGCATCAGCCTTTGAGAAGCAGACAAATCAGTTAAAGCCCATCTCCATAATGCCCTTATTCCTTACAGCTTGTGGGAACATCAGCTGTGTTTTTCAAACAGAAAGAGGCCACCTGTCCCAACTGCACAACAGACAAAGGATGGTTTTTCTGCCATAGGCAGTCTCATGGGGTAAACATGAATCAAGGGGACACCAATATGGATCTTTATTTTCAGGAGTAACAGCCCTTGAAATCCAGCCATGCCTTCATATATATCTGCTGGGGATATGTAATAATGCATATGACTATATACAATTTCTTGGATCCCTTGTACCCAGAGCCACCCACAAGGAGGTACAAGCCAGTACTAATGATGTTCAGTTAACTATGGACAATGATTGATTCTTCTTCTTTTTTTTTTTTTTTTTTTTTAGACACAGTATTTGGGTGTACTTAAAAACACTTCTTCCCTCTGGAACATCCAGAGTCTTGTGTTTGAACTGGGTTTTAATACCTTTCTGATCATGGCAAAAAGCACACAGAGTCTACATGTCCAGCTTAAGAAGCAAATACATCCATAGCATCTAGTTATGTACACAGAGCCTAGGCTTGAGATCAGCACCTCTCAGCTTCCCCTGCAGTAACCAGTAACAGGCACACAAACCAGTCCCACCTCCTGGGGTACTTCTCCAGCCAAAGCTAACCTATGAGTTAGGCACCTGAATCACAGTGTAGCTTTAGTCCAGGATGCTTAAAAACTGTACCTCACTCCTCCTTTTTCACTATGATATTTAATTGCATGTTCTTTCTCCTTCATACTCCTCTCTTTTCCTTCTCCTTTCCTTCTCGTGCCACACATAAACCTGTAATTCTGAAACATGCATGCAAATTACCAAAGTGCTTTAAAAGCAGTTAACTGCAACTGGGGAAGCTGAGGCACTGAGTGAGCAGTGAAGCAATCTGTCATTCAATTTTGTCACCCCAACATCACCCAGTTTATAAATGGTAATCAGGAATGGACTGAGTTAGGATGACTCCCAGTTTAACGCCGTATGTGCTGATCTTGCTTCCTTTTAGGGCTGATTTGCTGTAATGCTTTCCTGTTTGTCTCTGACCCTGCACCATTAGTGTCTGCTTTGCTGACTAAACCATCAACAGCTTGAAGAAGAGCTCATCAGCAGAAGAACCGTACCAGGATTAGGTTTCAGCTAGAGAACCATATGTAGGTTTGAAGCCATGTTTGCTTACACAGTCACAAGCAGGTTTATTTCTATGAGTGTGCAAGAACTAGTCTTGTTTTCTAAATCTTAGTAACATTACTTACTTCTTACTGTGTTTTCTGTAAGATCTCAAAGCACTCTCCAAAAGACCTCCATTGCATTCTTCCATTTCACATACGGACAAAGCTCAGTTGTATGTTTGAGGTCACTACTTTTTCAAGATCAGCCAGGAGGAACTGTCAGAGATGTGAAAAGATTAAATACTTTTAAGTTCAGTTAGAGCTCTTTCATTTGGCCACATTGCTTCCTTGTAAATGAATGTAAATTAATGACAAAGTATATATGCATTTAGACCTATAGAAATCCACCTAAACTGGGTGGATAGACCTGCAAACATAAAATAGCAAAGCTTCCCAGCATAGTACAGCTTTTTGTTCTGTTTCGGTTTTTTTAATCTTTCCCCTGGGAGTGCCTTATGGAAACAGATGGGTTTACCCATAGAAATAAACCCTATTTGCTTTCATAAATTTGAAGGCACAGAACTTCTCATAATGCATTTTTGCAATACAACACCAAGTAGCTCACAAGTAAGATCTTCCCCTGTCTCCATATTCAATGTTACACAACAGCTGTGCAGAATATTCAGACTGATACGCCTTTGAAGTTTTCACATTTTGTGTCACTCAATCACCCCAGTTTACACAACAAACATAAAACCAGGGGGACTCTGCTTCATACTGGGACAGCTTTGAGGTGGGGGTGTTGCTTTAACATACTTCTGTGTAGAGCAAAGGCCCCAAGTGATGCACTTATCTCACTAGAAGACTGGGAGATGTTGTACAGAGTGATGCAAAATCCTCCAATGAGCAAAAACGTCAAAACTAAAATATTTGGAAACTACAGAGTGATCCGTAACAAAGCTGAAAACTTTCTCCTCATGTCTGCACTAAGTAATTGGTGTTGAAACCTCTCTCAGCTGGTGTTCTCCTCAGTATAGTGATGGCATGCTCTGTGTTAGAGGATACTCTACAGTCTGGTGCTTTATCTGGAACCAGTATATCTGATTGGGTTTAGCTGGTGCCTTGTGCACACGATGCTCTTGGGTTAATTACAGTACTAAAACTACAGGGATTTGGATTGACCTTTATACTTCATCTTTGTACTCCACTGTGAATAACATAAGAATTTCAAGAGACAAGGATTTCAAGGATCAGAGCTCAGCTGTGAATT